GCCCTTGATAATTTATAAATTGTTATTTTGTCATATCTTGCGCTGTCCGACGTCTCCCTTCACCCAAAAAGTGGTATGTTTCAATGGTGCTATACTGCACCCTGACTGGCTCATCTCTTCCTTGTGACCCTTCCGTGAGGGGATGTCCAGTTGTCTACAGATGGGCTTTGGGTCTCCACAACTGGTTTTTGATGAAATCGATGCAAAAGTTAGGAATTTTTAGACATTCTTTAACAGCAATCGTTTGTGTTACGGGTACCCCTGCTGATGTTTTCTAAAAGGATTTCACGTCTGCGCCTGTTCTGGGTCTTCCGTGTCCACGCTTCTCTGCCTCATTTTGCCCGTGACCAGCGCTCTGTCGTGGCCCTCACTCGGGAAGCTGTGTGGGGTGGGGGCACGATCTGTTGTTAGCGTTGCAGTCGCCTCGCCCTGCTCTTTCTGTAGTTCCGTGGGTTCTCCTGAAGGTCACTTGATTCTTTAGGCAGAGCTGCGCCTTCCTCTTATTGGGCCTGTCTGAAGAGTCTAACACATTCTCCAGTCGGGGCCCAGGTTGAGCTCTTCCTGGGCCTCCTCTTCAGGGTGGCAGGATGACCCTTGAGACCTGCAGCCGTCAGCACCAGGCACTCATTGGGAAGTGCCTTCTGGGACACAGGACTTGGTTTCTTGTTCTGCTCGGCAATCTCAGGGCTCATGGACTGCTAGCCGAGGTCTGAGACGGCAGTGGCCTGGGGGGAGGAGGTTGATTCTACATCTGTTGCTGACTCTAGAACAAATTGGAAAGGGTCGCCTTGCTGAAGCAGAGGTCCGGCTGGGTGGGTGTCATGGCAGAAGCTGGGCCGGTAGCATCCAGGCACACAGAGGCAGCAGGAGCAGGCAGGGTGAGGCTGCGATGTGAGAGGTGCCGCCACAGTCCTGTGCGTTCTCCTGTGGAGCCCAGAGCCAAGATGAGAGGGCAGCCTTCCTACTGATGGGAAAGCCATCCCAGCAGAGGGCACAGATGCCAGGGAAGGGCCTCTGTGAATGGACAAAGCATGGGGAATGGGGAGGTCCAGAACGGAGGAAGCATTACCACTTCCCATAGGTGGAGAGCAGGAGCTGCAGCCTCAGCCCGAGGCCTGGCCTCAAGCCTTGGTTTGCTGTGCGCTGGGGACAGCCTCTCAGAAAGACCACAGTGAAGTTACCCCCCCACCCCCTCCCCGAGCATCTTAACTGCGACTTATTTGTGGCAGCCAGCACAACCAAGACTGTAGTGTGCCTCAGCGCTGGTTGGGCCCATACCTGGTGAGCGCTCAGTGAAGGATGGCCAGCACTAGCATGCTTCTAGTGGCCGCATCTTGTGTGCTCAAAGCTAAGGGAGGCGGGAAGGAGAAAAGCTAAGGGAGGCGGGAAGGAGAAAAGCCTGGGATGGCTGTGTCCTAAAACACCAAGGGCCTGAACCCTGGGGAATGGGACCCTCTAAAAGCACCCTGGGATTCTGGCCGATGGACAGTGTTGGAGTGAGATGGGAACCCGTGAGGGCCGCACACGCACGGCCCCTAGGCGCTGTGCTCATCCACCTGAGCTCCGCTCCTCTGCGAGTGCACACGGGCACACCCGCGCTGAGAACGCCCGCGCTGAGCCGCGCCCCAGGGGCAGAGGCTTTGGCCATGAAGAGCCACGCACCTCTGGGTGGAAAGCGTGGCAGGAATCCGGTCGCTGCCGCAGCTTCTGGGAGCGCATCCTGTCACACTTGACAGAGGCGTTATGTGCAGAACTCTCAGTCAAGGTCAACCACTCATGTCCAGAGTGGACCCTGGAGGCTTGGGGGCGAGACCAGCTAGCTGCCTGGCCAGCAGCTTCAGAAGCAGCGCCGGCCCCAGGGCCCAGGGGAGGGGGCTGCAGCACAAACAGCAATGCTCTGTGGGGATGGTGGTGGTGACGGGGCTGAAGACGACATCATTTACCCCCCGCCCCCCTCCATCTCCTTGGGGACTGGAAGGATATATTTGACTTCTGTGGCCTCCTGCAGGACAGGAGGGAAGATGCTACAATCACACGTGGAGTCTGTCACCAGGAGGAGGAGGTTACTCTTGGGAATCTGTTGCATCATGAACATCCTGCAGCGAAAAGGGTGGCAGGGGCGGGGAGGTGGGGGGGGCACACGGAACTTCTAGCAGTCTTGGCAGTTAGGGAGAAGAGCTTCTAGGGAAAGAATGCCGGGAAACTTCTAGTGCAGGGTTAGTGTCGGAGTAAGGAGCAGAACCACGAGGCAGTTGGATCAGGGGCAGCTGCAGGGACCGTCCTGGGACCCCAACTCCTAAGGGCTTATTTTACCCATAAGCCTTTGCAGTTGCACTTTCCTAGCAGACCGGAGACTGTGAGGAAGTCCAAAGGCAGAGCTTGTTACTCAGATGCCGGGACAACAGGAAGAATGCAAGACCACCCCAAGCAGAGGGGCGTTTGGACAGGCTTGTTTTAGGCGAGTGTGGTGGGAAAGATGCACTGCTCAGGCTTGGCCACCAGGTGGCAGAGTGCTCCTGCGCACCGCCCGGAACCCAGACCAGAGAGCTGGAGTAAAGGAAGGAGGCCTGGGGTACTGCAGAGTAGTGACAGCTGCCACTTGCTGAGCCTTTCCTACTTACTGACATCAAGTCCATTCCGACTCAAAGGGACCCTTGAAGACAGAGTAGAACTAGGCTGTGCATCTTTATGGAAGCAGAAACCCTCATCTTTGGCCTGACCTAGCCCACTGTGCCCCCGCACACCCCTGACTATAGGTGTGTGTGCACGCATGAATATTTAACCTTCACTGCTCAATCCGAGTTCAGTGTCTCCCCGTTTTGCAGATGAGAAAACCGAGGCTAGAGGCAGTTAGGTTCTTTGCTTAAAAGGTTACACAGCTGGGAAATGGCCGAGCCTGCAGTTGTGAGCAAAACCGCCTACTCTGGGGCCCTACTTGTACTCCAGGCCCTGTGCTTCTAGCTCAGTTCTCACAGAGCGAGAGTCCCATGCAAACCACCTCCCCGGGGTTAAAATCCACCAACACGACACGCCCCTTGAGGGATTGGAACTGGGGTCTGTCCGAAGTGCTACACCAGAGAGGTCTCTTGAAATCTAGGGACTGAAGGACACCCCGGGAAGTTGCTAGTGAGTGGCCTATCTGCCTAGGGCAGACAGTGCGGCAGGGGCTTCTGTTGAAGGCTGGGGGTGGGACGTCAGCAGGAGAGGCTGCTGTTAGATCCTCTCTGCCTACAGGGCCAGGGCGTGGCAGAGCCCGTTGGATCTAGGCTTCTACCCAGGACCCAGCCCGTTGGGGCTCCTGTGAGTCTAGGAGTCAGGCCCAGGAGTGCGCTGCAGACAGCTGCTGTCTGACCAGACCACGAGGGGAGCCCAGAGAGCAGCCTCAACCCCCGCACTTCTCTAAGCAGGACAGAGCTGGATTTCCAAAGGACGGTGGACTTGCCCGTGTTCTCATTGCCTCTTGCTTTCAAACATCGCCACAGTGGGCTTGTAGCCCACGTGGCCTCTGACAGGCCAGTGCATGGCTGCCCCTGCTGTGGTGCCCATAGTGCAGTTCTCGAACATCTGTCCCCACACTGAGAGCCTCTGAGGTATGTCCTGTGCTTGGCTGCCAATGCCGAGGCTGGAGGGTGACGTGCACCCAGTCGCTTCAGAAGCAGGGTCTGTCCATCCGCTTTCCAAAAGTCCACTGTTGGACACGCTGGGGGGGGGTACGGTCTCATGCACCACCCACGGGGTCGCTGTGAGTGGAATTGACCCCAAAGCAATGGGTTTTCCATCTTAAATCACAACAACAAAGCAATCAAACCTGCTGCCATTAAGTCACAGGGACCCTGTGGGACTGAGTAGAGGGCTCCCCAGGGTTTCTGAGCCCGCAAACCCATCTTCATGGGAGCAGCAAGCCTCATCTTTCTCCTGGGGAGCAACTGTGCCCTTGAACTGCTGACCTTGCTGTTAGCAGCCCAGCATGTAACCAAGTACACCACAGGGCTTCCTTTTAGATCCTCAAGTATTTAAAAAACAGGAACAAATGAGGCTACCATGGGAGGGGGCCTCAGCAAGGCTGCAGAGTTGTCTTCTCTCTCTGCCTGACCCGAGGGGGGTTGAGGCTTGGGGGCGGGCCGGGCTATGACAGAGAACCGGCCTGGGAACCACCTTGGCCTGTTTTCCCTATTGCCAGCACACCAAACGGCCCCATGCTCCCCTCCCCCCCCAGCCCCCTCGGCTGGCCTGACCTCAGACCCTCTGCCTCAGCCTGCTTCCTTCACTAAGGAAAGTGAAGATCAGCTAGATCCCTGAGAGTCTTGGCAGTGTCGCCTGCTTCCCCTGATGGTTCTGAAGCCAGAAGGCAGCTTGCGGTGGAGGGGCGGGGATCTGGCCCTTGGTGAGCCAGCCAGAGCAGCCCAGAGCCTTACTTCTGGCAGGTCCCACACTCGATGAAGCCGTTGGTCTCCCGGACAGCCGCCTGGTGCACAAACACTGGGTACTCCGTATCGCATGGCTGCAGCAGGTCCAGTCTCTTGTGCTTGTGGGCTGCGGGCAGACAGGGCCACAGCAGGTGTGAGCGAGGGCATGGCAGAGTGTGCCTTAAAAACCACCCCCTGCTGGATCATACTTGCCCACTTTCTGGGTTGGGGAGTTCACTGCTACCCCAGGCCCGTTTGCAAATGGACTCCACTGTTTGGCAGTTCTGGGGTGGGGGTGGGGAGCAGGGACAAAGGAGCCCGGGATAAGTGAGCTGGGATCAAGGGCAACAGTCATGCCCTGGCCCTGGGACTTTGGCAAAGCCACTGCTTCTCTTGGTGGCCTCTGTCCTCGGGCACACCTTCCCTGGTTGACACAATGGCCAGGCGCTAGATGATAAGCAAAGAGCTGGCAGTGTGACCCAGCCAGAGGCACCTCGGAAGATAGCCCTGGCGAGCTGCTGCTGAAAGGCCACAGCTTGCAGGCTGGCAGAAACTCGGCCTCTGCCCATATACATCACACTGCATATATGTACACAGGGTTTCCACCCACATATACCACACTGTGCATGTATGCACACACAATGTCCACCCATATCACACTGTGCATGTATGTACACAGGATGTCCTACCACACTGTGCATGTATGCACACACGATGTCCACCTATATCACACTGTGCATGTATGTACACAGGATGTCCTCCCACATATATCACTGCATGTATGTACACAGCGTGCCCACCCACATACATCACACTGTGCATGATGTACACGGGGGCATCAGACTCCCTGTGTGGACTCCTGTACCCCACAGCAGCCAGCATGCTCCATGGAAGCTGGGGGAGAGGTGTCGGCAGAGCACCCCCTCAAAAGTGCTTCCAGCATTGACAGCTGAGGGTGTCTGGGAGGAGAGGGGTGGTGTATGTGGAGGCCTTAGTCCTCTCAATCCGACCACCCCTCCCCTTCCCCGTAGGCAGCTAACATTTTCTGAGTCTAACAAAAGCCGGGTGCCCTGCCCCTGGCCAGGCCCAGACTGCTCCCCGGTGGAGGGGCAGGAGAGCCCTGGCCAGCACTTCTGGCTCCTGGTGTGAAGCGTTGGACTCCATTCAGGCAGGGATAAAACACGGGCCGGCCGGCCGGCCTGCCCACCCAGCTCGGATGATGAGCAACCCAACAATCCCCACCATTGCAGTCACTTCCCGGCGTAGTAGAGTGACCTCCCCAAGGCTTTGGGGCAGCCCGTTCTGGAAGGACACTGCACTGGCGGGGCCACTGCTCTGAGGGAGGAGAATTCTGAACAGCCTGGTGGGGACCCTAAGTGTGGGCCAAAGAACGAGGGGTCCTCTTCAAGACAAAACTGCTGACAGACATGGGGGTGTGGGGTAGTTTGGGGGTCCCTCCTCCCTCTCTGGTGTGGCCCACTCAGGGGCCTGTGTCTAAGTAGCACATGGTTCCTGGCTCTGTCATAGACGCCTGTAACGGACGGCCCCTCGGAGCCGTCCTGGGAGGACCTGGGCACGAGGAGTGTCATTTCCTAAAGAAACCTGGGAATGAGAGCGGAGGGTCAGAGGGCAGCTCTGGAGCCAAAGCCTGTGGGGCCGAGCCAGGAGGGGGAGGGAGCGTGGGAAGAACAGACAGGTGGGCATCAGCGAGCAGCGGATAGGGAGCACCGTGCCATGGGGCGCTCCAGAGCCCCAGGGAGGAGGTCCCGTCAAGCATGAGGGGTGAGCAAACCAGGTGAGGCAAGGCTTCCCTGTGGTCTCAGAGCTCCAGGTCCCCAGGAGTGGGTGTGTATTCATGTCCCTCCAACGAGGGAGTGGTTCTCATTCTCCTGGGGCTGTGGCCACCACTGGCCCAGTGGAAGATTCCGCTTTGATAGGTGACCATGTTGCTGCCTTTCAGGCACTCTGCCCTCACACAAGGCCATTGGAGGGCTGTCTGGAGACCTTCCTGGTGACCAGCCCCTCCCTCCAATGGGACTGCAGAGGGCTCTCGGGACCTCCGGCTGGAGGTGGGCCCGGGCCTTCTTCTCTGCAAGGTGACCTGGCCTCACCTGCCCTGAGTTACACATCACCCCATTCCTCGTGGAATCTGAATGTTGTCTGCAGACAGGAGACGGTGGACAGGGTTTATTTCCCCTGGGTGGAACTTTCCAGTGCTCCGAGTCAGGGTCCCAGGATAGAGAGAGTTCCGAGTCCTCTGTGGGCTGAGGACAGGCCCCGCAGCTCCCACTCTGCCTGCAACCCACCCGAGGTCGACCAGGGTCCCCCAGTGAATGTGACTTACCGTGATGGAGCACGCCTTTGGCTGCCCAGGACATGGGGGCCCAGCCCGGGTGGACACGGCACAGACAGGGCATGATGTCACATGAGGTGGGGGCGTCACCCAGGACGGATGACGTCACATGGATCCGTGATGGCCCCGGATGACATGACGTCACACAGAGAGGTGAGGGGAGCCAGGCACGAGAAGAAGAGGATGAGCAGCCCGGCAGGAGACAATAGGTACCAGGAGCCTCTCTCCAGAGTGCCCTGTCCCCCACCCTGACTGCAGACCACAGTGCGATGGAACCCACCCGTCCTGCGGGGCATACTCACCGGCGGCCCCACTATCCCCATGCCAGCTTCCCCAGGCACTCCACTGCAGCAGGAACCTGTGAGATGCAGGACTGAGCCTCAGAGACCTCTGTGGCCCCCTGCCCCCACTGGAATCCCCATACACACTGGGGCCGGGGCACCAGGGAGCTTCCAACAGGTCCATCTTCCTGACCCGAGGGCTCCTAGATGGCAGAGCGGAGGGAGGGACCCTCACCTCCTCCTCGGGGGTTGGTACCACGTATGGTGTCCGGGACCTCAGGCGGCAGCCCCAGAAACCACACCTGTCTGTACGCAGTTCTCCAGCCCGCCTCGGTCCCCCCACCTCAGACCCGCCCCCCCCCACTCACAGCAAGAGCTCATTCAGCAGCCACTTGGTAGCAGTCAGGAAGGCAGGGATTGGCTGTAAGGGAGAGGGGGCACGCCGTTAACATGCAGGCCCAAGCGCCTTCCCAGGGCACCACACAAGACGTGGAGACTGGCACCAGCTGCGGCGGGTGGCTGAGCAGCCCCTCCTGCTCCCACCACCCCTTGCCAGCCCCCTGTAGTTCAGACAGTGGAGGTTTGATCCCCATGCTGACGAGGCACGTCCAGGGCTGCAGTGGCTGAGGCTCCTGGGTCAGGGGGTGCGGCAGCCTTGCACGGCTATAAAGGGCCAACGCCTTACTCTCTTGGCCAGAGGTCCTGCTCGTTCACACGCTTCCGGAGTGACTCCCTGACACCCCAAAGCCGCGTTCTACAGGGCCACGTGGGTGGAGGGCAGAAGTTGGTCAGGTCCCGAGCCAGACCAGACCATCTGCACTGGTGAGAATGAGAACCACCCAGGCGAGCAGTGCCGGCTGGACGCGGACGCCATGGTGACCTCTGTTGAGAGGACAGGGCGGTGGACTCTCTGTCCTGTGGAAGGACGGCCTGGGTGACACTCACGCTGGCCAGGGGCTGAGCCGAGTTCTGGTGGTGACCCGGGAGCTTGCACATGGCCTGGTAGTCGTACATGGTCACTCTGGAAATCAGACACGGGATACGTGAGTCCGAGGACTCAGGGGACGCGGGCCAGCAGGACCTCCACTCATCGTGATTGGTGAGAGTTTGTGGGCAGGTCGGGAGTAGCTCAGGCTACAAGCTATGTTTCTGTGTTTCAAGTGGCCTGAGAAAGTGAATGGGTAGCCAATGGCTGACTTTAAAAACAAACAAACATTTTATGGGGGACTCTTAGAGCTCTTATCACCATCCATCCATCCATCCATCCATTGTATCAAGCACATTTGTGCATATGTTGCCATCATAATTTTCAAAACATTTTCTTTCTACTTAAGCCCTTGTTATCAGCTTCCCCTCCCCCTCCCCCGGTGAACCCTTGATAAATGATCAATGATTGTTATTTTCATATCTTACACCGGCTGTTGGGCTGGATGGTGCCCCCTCCAGCGGGGTCTGAGCTGGGGGAGGGGGCCCCCAGCAGTGATGCCCACATGACCACCTGCCCCTCCCCTCCTCACAGCTGGTTCTGGACGTCAGAAAGGTTATTTTTGGAGCTCTTCGGGAGTGCTCATTGTGGGGGCTTGAGGTCCAGATCCTGATGCCTGTCTGGACAATTTAGCATCAGAGCTTGCCTTGGCTGTGTCTACTTAGACTGCGGGGGATGGGTGGTGGTGAGGGGTCCCATCTCACTTACTGGCTGAACACCCCCATGCTGAGCAGTTGGGTCATGAAGGCACCATCAACCTCCCCCAGAAATCTTCCTGTCTGTGAGGGAGAGAGGAGAGAGAGAGAGAGGAAGTCATTTAAAGCTACCAGCCTTGCCTGGGCTTGCTCTGCCTCCAGACTCCCCTCCGGGCCTCTTCCTTTGCGTGCCCATCAGCACCATGGGCACCATCCATTCATCACCGATCCCTCTTGCCCAAGGCCTCCCCTTCTTCACTGCCCCTCCATTTTACCAAGCAGGGGGTGCTTCTGCAGGGCCTGGCTGCTCCTGCCCTCCTGCCCACAGCTCCTGGTGCTTTGTAACCGTGCTGCCACCCGCCAGTTGGCTACAACTGGTGGTCCAGTGGTTAAGGGCTCCACTGGTGGTCCTCACCGCCCAGAGGTTCCACGGAAGGAAGGCCCAGCAGTCTTGGAGGAAGGCCCATGCTCATGGTGAGTCTGAATCAATCGGACAGCCCCTCCCAGCCACCGAAAGCCATGCACTGAGCCCCAAGTTGCAAATTGGGCTTGTTTGTAATGGGGTGGCAGCCCTTCCCATCTCTCAGTCGGGGTCACCAGCGGTAAGTCAGGCTACCGAAGGGCTCAGGAAATTTGGGCTGTTAGATACGAATGGGCTTCCAAAAGTTGGTGGCCAAACGCCGCTATCTTTTTAGTCAATTTTCCCACGGACTCTGTGAGGTTCCCACCGGTGTTACATGCATGTCTTTGGGTGTGTCTGTTCTGGGTCAGATGTATTTCTTTCTGTGAGTCCTGGCCAACAAGGGTTCAAAAATAGTGCCCGTCTCAAACTCGGGTGTCCTGACTCGACTTGGAGAGGATTCTGGGTGCCTCTAGCTTTCCCTTCCACACCTCCCACTTCTCATTAATTAGCCACTTGCCTTTCTGATTCCATGGGCACTGGCGTCCTTAGACCCTCACCCACCCTCGGTGGCCACAGTGGCCTCCTAGCAGCTCCCTCTCCTCAGCAGCTGCTGCCAGAATTGTGGGCTCCTCTCACCCACAGCTTGTAGGAAGGGCGCAGGGAGCCTGGTCTGCTTCCCTCACAGGGATGCTTCTCCGGCTCCTGGGCCTGGCTGGGGCGCCCCCTCCTCAGGCTGTGGTGGGGACACCATGCCAAGGCGTAGCAGGTAAGGTTGGAGGGGAGGGGGTGGCTCAGAGGAGGAAACCAGACCGGCAGAGGGAGCGTGAGGGCCTGGGGCGTGAGGAGGGAGTTGCCAGTGGATCCGAGACCCCGTGTAATCTTCTGTGGAAACAAGGTCTGATGGGTTCCTCAGAGCAATGAGAGAGCTTGTTATATGAAGAAATAAACACATGCCTGCTGTAAGGACCGAGACTCCCTTTAAGGAAACCTGCTTTGGGGGTGCCTGATGGACCCCTACTTCCTACAGGAGTGGAGATTGATCCCAGACGGGAGTCCATCAGGAGGCTGGGCTCTTAAGCAGCTGATAGCAATCAGAGAAACGGCAAGAATAAGAACTATATTTATATTTGGAGGAGGGGGTGGTAATGCCTTGGGGGGTGGGGGGTTGCCCCAGGAAAGCCACATGGAAAGCTATACTAAGATTGGACATGTAAAAAAAGAGGGCCAAAAACATGGGGAAATCCCCAAACAAAAAATCACAATTCACTGCCTTTGAGTCGATTTGGACTCCTAGCGACCCTGTAAGACAGAGTAGAACTGCCCCTGGGGGTTTCTGAGATGGGAACTCCTGATGGGAAACCCCCTGGGCCAAGGCTTGGAACCAGGGGAAAACTCAGGAAATGCCACTCCACAAACAGAGCTGGGCAGGGAGGGGTCAAGGCCTGACATCCTATAGCGTGTTTTGGAAAGAGCTCTCTTACAAAAGGACACTGTCAGGATGCCACCGCTCTAAAATCTATGACAAAAGTCATCACCAGTAACTGGCAGGTTAATGACAGGCGCAAACAGGGAAAAGGGACCGGAGGTGGTGGCAACAGAGGCCTGGAACTGGGTGGAGGCTCCGCTCTCTCTTTGCCTGGAATGGCCGGACTGCCCCAGAGGGTGGTGGTTAGCGCCTCTGATTTGCAACACAGTCACTCGTGACATGAGATTGAACAGACTGGTCTTGGGCCAAGAACTTGCAAACCGGTTTGGAGAGACAGATAGCAGCCCAGTGACACCCCCTTGCGCAGAGCACAGCCTGCCATCGCAGGCACCTCCCTTGGAGGTATAGACAAGCAGGACCCACTTTTCTGAAAGGCAGGCCAGGGGAGGGAGCAGAGAGGCGAGAGGCACCCAGAGCACTCCAGGCAGAAAACAGCAGGTGGGGAAGCGAGAGGCGCAGGGACTACAGGAAGGGCCTGTTCTTCAAGAGGTTCGACTCCACCCAGAGGCACCCTGGAAGGAAGATCCTGTGACCTCCTTCTGAAAATATTAGCCACCCAGAACCCTGTGGGGCACACACACTGTATTATAGATAAAAAGTCGAGGGGGGGTTCACACCAGAAGAAACATACGTTGATGGTTACCGGGGACGGGAGGGAAGGAGGGGACATCACAGGCTAAGAGGTAGACAGGTGGTAACTGGGGGCAGAGGAAGACAACACACCACAGAGGGAGGCGGGCAAAGAGTGATGGCGGCACTGGGAGGTTTGCGGGAGCTAAAGGCAACAGAGGCAAATACTGTTGTCGACACGCCTGCACCAGTGGGGACCTATGCGCAGATGTTCAGCTCCACACGCAGACTGAGCCGGTGTGGGAGGGAGAATGCAAGCAGACCGGTGAACATATAAAGGCTGGCCAGAGGACAGTTGCAGACGGCTGTCTGCTTGCCCATTGTTGTCATGGAGGCTCCCAGAGGTCAAATTAGGAACACTCCCTAGACAGCAGAACCAGAGGGAAGGGGTTGCTGGGCCTGGGGGGTGGCGACCACAGTCTGGAGTCAGTTCACAAAGGCTCCACTTGGGCGGGGGGCGGGGGGCGCCCAGGCTCTGAACTGCTCAGGAGCAGCCACCTAAGGCTCAGCCATTGGTCTCGCCATCCCGAGGAAGAGTGTGAGGCAGCTCCAAAGAAAGACGGCCCGCAGAGATGCCAGAGCTCCACTGCCCCGGGGCGGCAAAGCTGCACAGTGGGCACCGCCGCTGCCCCCACGGCCACCTGCTCTGAAAGGATCACAGGGGGCAGTCTCGGCTAGAATGGGAGAGGGAAATGCAACACGAACCTCACCTCCACCAGCGAGGCCCCGTTTACTGGTCGGAGAGAGACCAGGGCCCCTTTCCCAAACGGTCTGGGGCGGAACGCAGCGCTGTGGCAGAATCATCCACCACCCAAGAGCACTAGGACAGCGTCCGCCCAAGGACCAAGCTCAGCCGGGTTTGGAGAGATGGTGAGCGCGGTGTGGGGATGGTGGAGGGCGAGTTGACACACGCTGGGTCTGCACTGTTGCGGGAGAAACTGTGCCCTCCAGACCTCCATCTGACTCGCAGTAACAAATTTAAAGGCCCTGTGGGGCACGGGTCTGCTCGGACACACGCGGGGATGCCACAAGTTGGCGTCTGCTCAAGAGCTACCGGTTGGTTAGCTGTGCTCAACTACATTTCCCAGACTCCCTTGCAGCTAGGGCAGGCCAGTAAAAAAACTAAGCAAAGTCATATCCATGAATCTCTTGAGAGGAAAATGACTGCATGGAAGAGGAGCTTTGGTCTGTAGCCCTCCCTCTTCATGCCTAGAAGGTGGACCAGAAGGCAGGAGCACCTATAGCCAGGTGGTTATAGGTCTTTAAGGACCCCTGTTGACACTCCCGACCCGGGCTGCTTCATCCTGGCTTCGTCTGTGCGAGACTATAAATCTCTTATTTGGTTAAGCCAGTTGAGGGAGCCCCCTTCCTTGAGAGGACGTTATTCCTAAGTGATAAAATAAGTTGCTCTGGGTCAGTGTCAACCAGTGGCCCAAAGTGGGGGAAATGGATCAAGTCTCTGGACCCATAGAGCCGAAGCCCACACCCTCGGCTCCCAGGTTCATTCAGGTCTCCTAGACGCGCCCAATTCCCTAACTGGCCCCAGCACCCCAGCAGCAAACAGCCATAGAGATCCGGCTCCTCTCTGCCCAGGCACTAGAAAGAGGACCGGAAGCTCCTGGCTTCTGAGGCTACAGCTGGACCGGTATCTGTCCTCTCTCAAACCTGGCCTCTTTCACTGGGATGCTGCTTTTGCTGGCTGCCTGACAGGCAGACTCCGTGCACCACAGGACACAGAACTGCCCGGTCCCCTACTTTCCCCTTGCGGGGATCCTCAGGGCTGCCCTGGCTGACTCTCAGAAGTAGACTCTGCCAGGCCTTCCCTGAGCCTCTTCCTCTGCAGGCTCAGCTGAGCCCCGGTTGGCATCGTAGCATCCCGGTAGATGACCTGACCTGTGGCTGTGTGTGACTGCCCTGGCACCTGGCAAACCCAGGTGTCCCCCCGGGAGGCAGGAATTTTACCACTGGAGCACCAAGGCCCTCGTTCATTGTGGGTCGCCATACACGCAGAGTGGTCCGCTGCGGGGCTCTGCTCTGGGGCCGCATCTAAAGGGCCCGGGGTCTCCCTGACTGCCAGGGCTAGAAGATGCTGGAGGGAGGAGCCTGGCAGGAGCCCAGCTTGGAGGCGGAGCAGGAAGCCCGTGAGGCAGCTGCAGCAGAGTGTGCCAGCATGCTGGCTAGCTGGCAGCAGCCCCTGGGCATGTCTAATGTGTGTGCCCTTGCAGAGCTGAACCGCCAATGTCTCCTGTCTCCCAAAAGGAGGGCACTGGACCATGGGCGGGAAGACTTCGGCTTCTGGGGCATCATGGAGCAAATGTCATGCGACCCCTTTACCTAAGGACAGCCCCAGCTCCCCCTTCTCTGCGACTGGGATGACCCCTCCTGCTAAGAGCTCTGGGGACCAAAGGAAGGCCAGGTGGGGAGTGTCTCATGTGGGTGTCAGGTGCCATCCAGGTGATTCTCAAGGGACTCAGGTGACCCATGTTGGAGCAGTGATCTTCTCAGGAGCAGACCCCTGAGACGTGCCTGGGTGGGTTTGAGCCACCAACCTTGCGGTGAGCAGTTGAATGTTTACCCACTGTGCCGCCATGGCTCTTTGCGTGGCTCCTGGTGGGGACCAATGTCATTCTACTCCATCTGCTGTCCCTACTGCCTCCCCTGGCTCCCCTGAGCCGTGTCATGTGACAAGTGCTGCTGGCCACACCGGGAGCCCAGGCAGGAGTATGGCGGATGTGAGTAGCCTGCAGAGCCGGCCTCTGTGAGCCCCCCACATGCTGAGGAAGGAGGCCGGCCTCAGGTTCACGTGACAACCAGAACGTCACCTGGTGGGCCAGGGCCCTGAGGGAGGTCCTAGCTGCTTCTCCGAGGCTGCCGGACAGGACCGCAGGAAGGCAGAGGCTGTGCCAGGCCCTGGGGAAGCTCTGGCAAGATGTCAGTGGAGGCTGTGAGCTGGGGGGCGTGGAGGGTGGGGCAATGGGGAGCAGGGAGGCAGAGATTTCTCCCCATGGACCCCAGGAGTGACTTAAAGACAGCTGACAGGTCGAGTGGGAGGAAGACAAAGAGTTTGGGCTGGGTGGGACTGGGGGGCAGGGGATCGGAGAAAACCAGGAGCTGAAACACAAGACAGGCTCAGCCACATGCCAAGTGAGGGCAGGCAGGCTTGCCCCAGGCTGGGAGGAGGGAGCTGTGCCCTCGGAGAGGCAGGTTCCTCGGACAGTGCTGGGACTTGAGGGCAGCTCTCCAGGGGCTTTGCTGCTCCTTTGAGGACCTTTGCGTGGGGGTGTTGCGTGCAGGCAAGGGACAGGACTCGGTCTCTAAAATCCAGGGTGACAGACCCACTGTAAACATGACACAGGCCCATAGCTGTTGTCACTCTCCTGGCCCCGGCTGTGGACCTCCCTTCCTAGGGAAAGAATGGCTGTACTCTGGTCACATGTAGTTCTCTATGATAACCCCCTTTAGAGCCTTGGCGGCTCTATGGACTACGAATGGGCGGCTCACCACAAGGTGGGCAGTTCAAAATCACCAGCTCTCCTGAAGGAGAAAGATGAGGCTGTCTGCCCCCATGAAGATTTAAAGCCCCAGAAACCCTCTGGAGGGTCAGCAGGAGTCAGAATCAACTCAATGGCAGTGAGTTCGATTTCAGTCTATTATAATACCGAAGGAAGCACTCCTCGTTCAACTCTGCTGCCAAGCAGCCTTTTAAAATGTCCAAGAGCGAAGACATCACCCTGAGGGGGAAGAGCATTGGGACCAAATGCAGGGCCCAAGGTCCCCAGGACAAACGGAAACGACTCCGCTGTGCACTCTCCGGCCACTTCTGTAAAAGTGTCCACAGCCCCTCTGACCTAGATACAAGCAGTGCTACAGGCGAGAAGGGTCGCTTTGCCGACCTGGCTCACGTAGACTTACAGAGGACAAGCTCAGGTTCCACTTGAGAGAGATGGACTGAGTTAGAATTCGTGACTACGACAGAGACATGGGCCTCCCTCTCCACCATCACCCCCTTCTTCCGCCCAAGCTCGGGTAGACTGGGCACGTTCACGTGCTCGCTTCCCCCTTTCCTGTTTCCCGGGGCCCAGACGGCGCTCCAGCCAGGCTCCCTGGCCGGCTTCCCTGCTTTGTTGACCTCAGAACCTGGCCCAGTGCGAGGGCCTGGATGGGCTGATATGTCAGAAACATGTGACTTTGGTGGGTGGCAGATACTCAGATCATGTCCCGATTCCCTCCTCACAGCACTGGTATCTCTATGCGAAAATTGTTTCAGGAAACTGATCAACTCATAAACAAAACCAAACCAAAACCCCAACTGTCATGGAAGTGACCCTATAGGACCGAGTACAGCTGTCCCTTTGGGTTTTCTCAGGCTATCTATCAATCTTCCTCCCATGGAGCCGCTGCTGGGTTCCAACCGCTGACCTTGTGGCGGCTCACCCACTACACCCCAGGGCTCCTTCAGTGCCTGCAAAAGTTGTCAACCCAAACCCTAGCACCTGCAACCTTCTACGAGAGTGGTTCTCAACCTTCCTCATGCGGCCACCCTTTCAGGCAGTGCCTCATGTTGTGGGGGCCCCCAACAATAAAATTATTTTCATTGCTACTTCATCACTGTCATTTTGCCACTGTTATGAATTGGGCGACCCCTGTGAAAGGGTCGTTCGATCCCCAAAGGGGTCACAACACACAGGTTGAGAACCACTGTTCTAAAAGATCCAATCAACTCTACTGCAGAGGCACCCCCCGCCCCCCATCCTCACCCCCAGTGTGCTTTGAATCAAGTACGCAAGAATGAAGGCGGGCAGGGAGGGGCCCAGGGAAAGGAGCAGGCTACCCAGGAGGCTGGGACTTGCCGCCTGCCACACTCTTCACAGAAGGCCAATAGCCCTGGGGTCAACAATCTGTCCTGTCAATTCTCCAGCCCCATCCAGCCAATGTTCCCTCAGCGTGGTCTCCCTCCCCACAGCATGCTTTCGAGAACCTCTCTCCTATTCTCATCACTTATCTTGTATGCTTAGGTTCAAAGCTGGTCATTTCTATAGCGAAGAGTCGGGTGTGTGTGTGTGTTAATAACCAAGCCAAACCTTGTTTTTTGTCTGGTGGTAAATGTGATTAGCATACCGCCACAAGTGATGAAGCGAAGGCCCGCCTTCTAGGTCCCCAGAGGGACGGGAGAGTGGACAGGGTTCCTCCCTTCATGGAGATGGACCTGCTCATATGGACTTCTCAGAAGTCCCAATTCTGGACCCCGCTTCCAGGGATGGGCCAGCTCTAACTCAGCACTAAGCTTGTTGGCCTGGAGCTAAGAAAGGGCTTTACGAGGTCAAATGATTGAAAATAGAACCAAGAGGAGAAGAATATTTAGTGCTATGTGAAAAGGACATGCAACTCAAATAGCAGTCCTATTAAAGTTTTATTGGAACAAAACTATGCGTATTCACTTTTGTGCTCTTTGAGGTTGCTTTTGCACCCCTATGGCAGAGCTGAATGATTGTGGCTGAGACCACGGGGTTCACAAGTCCCAAGACACAGATTATCTGGTCCTTTGCAGTCCCTGCTTCAGAGAATTGTCTCTTGAACTAGGCTGCCTTCTTCCTACATCCCTTCTGACCCAGCGTCAGGCTTCTGCCTCCTCTCTGAAGCTCCTTGGGCCCCTTGAAAGCCAACACCAAGACACCAGGAGACATGGCCAGGCTCGGTTACCCGGGGCAGCAGGAGCGGGAGCATGAATGATTGAGAGCATCAGATTGTCCTAAAGCCTCATTCCCAGTGCGGGGCTCAACTTCTGCCACCAACTGCTGTCCTCCCTGAGCCACTGATGAGTTTTACAATGGACCGTCCACTTGAGAAATACTGCAACCGAAGAGTGACAAAGCCCCAAGGGGGTGTCACAGCAAACGAGAGGGCAGGCAGAGGCACCCAGGCGATCGTCATGAGGAATAAGCAGTAGTTACCGAGTCGGCCCCTGACTCATGGCGACCCCGCTCACCATAGAATCGGACCATTTTGATCCATAGGGTTTGCACTAGACTGCCAGGCCTTTCCTAGTCTGTCTAAGTCTAAAAGCTCCCCGGAAACTTGTTTGGCATCACATTAACATGCACACTCACAGATGAGTGCTGTCCTGCCCCTTGGCCGGGAATCCAACCATGGGTCTTCCCCACAGAAGGTGAAAGCTCTACCACGGCCCGAGTGAACGGAGTCCTGCCGGAGACAGCTGTGTTCTTCGTTCTCGTTGGACCTTTGTATTGTGAATTGGGAGCGGGTTCACCGAGCAGATGGTCAGTTGCACATCCCACAATTCATACCTGTCTGTTTCAGCACATCCATCGCAATCCCCTCGCTGTGCGTTCACTTTCTCCCCATTTCCTGCTTCCTCTCCTCCTATTCCCAGCCCTCTGTACTGCTTCCTCCTGATTTTAAATGGTGGATTACTCTAACATGACGGCCAGTTCCGTTCCAGACCCGAAGGCCTGAAGGCCCATGGTCTGCAGGGTTTCAGCAATTTCTGTCCTACCAGCAAGCCTGGTACCTTCTAGGATCTTGAGTTTGCTCCATATGTTCTCCCACGCTACCCAGGGGCGAGGAGCCCTGGTGGTGTAGTGGTTCCCTGTTGGGCTGCTGATCACAAGGTCAGCAGTTTGAAACCACCAGCCACCCTGAGGGAGACAGATGGGGCGTTCCACTCCCATCAAGAGTGATCATCTCAGAAGCCCACAGGGGCAGTTCTACTCTGTCCTACACGGTTGCCACGAGTCCCAGCGACTCGTTGTTGAGTTTGGAGTTGTCTGCCCAGGGCTGTCTGGGTATGATCCTGGAACCCTGTCTTCCGGCATCCTTTCCTGGGAAACGCTTCCATTGGCATCGAACCAGCCTCTGCCCTCGCGTTGACAGAAGTCACTGCCAAACATCCTTCCTCCTCCTGCCCCCTGCCCCTTGGTTCTCTTCCCCAGTGACTTACCTGCTGGGCCCGCTCAGAGATCAGGATGAACCCATTGTTGTCTACGACGAAGCAGTCCAGGTCCTAGAGAAGGAAGAAGCACAGACGGAGGCCGCCGCCGGGGCCAAGCCCTGGCCTCCCAGTTCCTGGAGGTCCAAGGAAAAGCATTCTCTTCCCAAGGGAGCCCGGCATGGGAGGGAGGGAGGAGGGGAGCTAGCCCACTAAGAGTACATGATGACAGGGGCCCATGGCTCTCACACGGCCGACTTACGCTGTCCTGGCAGCTCCCTGGGCATGGTTCCTCCACACTGCACTAGAAGGAAGAACAGGGGTTGTGAAGATGGGTGTGTCTATGCATTGTGTGCATCTGTACCTGTGTGGTGTGTATGCGGTGTGTTAGGCATGTGCAGAGTGGTGGGTATGTTGTACACACACACACACACATACACACACGCGCAGCAGGTGTGTGGTGGGTGTGCTTGCATTTGCAGAGAGCCACGGTGGGAGGGACCAGGGGCCCAGGGGCCCAGGAGGTGTGGGGGAACCAAGAAAGGCAAGACAGCGGGGAGCGCCCACTGGTGGCTGCTGAGGGTACTATGG